GAGAAAAAATCACTGACAATCTGCAAAAACTGGATGCATAAGCAGTAGTTCTAGTCTTCTTCTGATAATTTTTAAAATTTCTTCGCACTTTTCAGCTTGAAGGTGTTTCTTCCTTTATTCTGCTCATCCAATTTTAGATGCAAGCTGATTATCGACAATTGGACTCTTTGGGAAAACGACAATACGATTCCAAGTCGCATTTAATTTTTATTGTTGCACAATCCAAGCACAGTAAAAGCAAGCAACTTTTTTTAATTGCTCCTGTTGGAATCGTGAAAGGTTTCAATTTTTAAACCTTTTCCTCCTCATGAAAAGCAGAATCAGCAGAAATGACCCCAAGAAGTTTGAGGGTAAGAGCCAACTTTAGCTGCAAAATACAGTAAATTAATTTCGGCACTGAATTATTTTCAGCCAGTAGGAATGGAACAGGGAAGGACCTCAACTACCTGCACTAGAAAGAGAGAGCCAAGGAAACTCCAGTCGAGTTTGGTCGGAATTAATCGGACCTTCCCCTCATCTTTCTCTTTCCAACTCAGGCATTCAGCCGTGTTCCACTGCCAGAATATTTTTAAGATTGATACTTTTGGGCAAGTTTCACCTTCCAGATAAACCAGCATCCGCAGAACGCAAAACTGAACTGTTATCAAATTTGAATTGGAAAATAATTTTGAGTGTGTAATAGTGTATCTCCAGATAAATGAATGGAACAAGGAAGGACGTCAACTGCATTAAATTTATTAATAATTAAATCTTCAATAACCTCAATTAAACTAATTATTTAGAGTGTCTGTTTCCTTTAATTAGTGTAGCTGAATCAATAATAATTTCAATGCTGTTATTTGTCCATTTGCGAATGAAAAAATCCACACATTTCTCGATTCTCACTCACATGCATTCTTTGTTCGATTGAAAATTATACGCCGCATTTGCATAATTCATTTGTGGTATCTTGGGAACTGACCTTAATAATCACTATTCGTGATTCTGATAATAATTAACAATAGAACTGTTACACATACAGGGTGTCCCAGAAGCTAACGCAACTTACGTTCCCTCCTAATTCTGTTGATTTTTAGTGGTAGATTCCGAAAGTAAATGGAATTGCGTCTAATGTCTGGCTGGAGAAATCAGATTGGCGCCCAATGGAATTAGTAATTCGATATTTTTAGATGCGAAAGAGGCCAATCTCATTCAGCGATCCAATTGGAACGACGTGTTTTCGACCACGTGCCATTTATATGTATATATAGGACAGGTCAATGCATTCGGGGTGTTCTAAATGCAGCAGCGCCAGCGTCTGCAAAAAATCACGTCTGGGTAGTGTGGATATATTTAGCGATGTCTGCACTTTTGTCATTCCTCCGCGTCTTAAGAGAAAATTTCCCTAGAATTGAGTATTTTCAAAGTAAAAAATGTTCAAGAGACGGTTCGAATTTAGTGAAATGTTGACGATGTACCAGTGAAAGGGGAACTCGAGATCGATCGATTTCTGAAGGTGTCCGCAAGCTCGAAACTTTCGTTACATATTAAGTGAATGTTGCACAGCAAACACAAGATACTAAAAGGCTCTCGTTTTCTGTGTTTTTGGAGCTAATTGAATTTTTGTTGACGGTTGCAAACAGTCGATGAATGTTAATAATAGCATACGTTTAGAAAATTCATTAAAAATCCTTGAAGATGACCTCGATTCGAAACCTCCAAAACAAATTAAGTTCATGTTGCCTTTAAAATCTTAGAGCAAAATCGCTATAATTTTCTGTAGGTCTAGTAAGTCCTGTAGTTTTAAAGAAATTTGATTTTTGGCGGTTGCTGATAGTCGATAAAAGTCGTTTATAATAGCAAAATTTGGCAAATTAATAAAAAAAATCCCTGAAGGTGTCCCCAATTCGAAACGTTCATAACATATTAAGTAGAGTTTGCACAATAAATTGCTGAAGTAACAACTATTTCGGTTTCGGTAGTTTAAAAAAAAATCGATTTTTCTGTAGTTTTTATAAAAAAGCACATTTTTTCGATGGTTGGTGATACTCGATGGAAATCGTTAATGTTCGCATAAGTTTTCAAATTAATAAAAAATCCCTGAATTATTCGAAACTTTCATAACATATTAAGTAAGGCCTGCACAACAAATTAACAAAGAAAAAACGCTCTCACTTGCAGTGGTTTTAAAAAAGTTTGATTTTTCCCGAGGCCTTGCTGATAGTGGATGCATGTCATTTATAATTTCGAAAATTCGGTTTTTGTTGATGGTTGCAGATACTCAATGGATGTCGTTTATTATCGAATAAGAGTTTGGAAATGCCTGAAAAAATCTCTGAAGGAGTCTTCAACTCGAATTTTTCAGACTAGGTATAGTTTTTCTTAATTTTACGAAAAAACGACAACATTCTCGGCCTCTTAGATTTAAATAAATAACATTTTTCGGAAAAACTGACAAAAGTTGTTGGATGGAGACGTCTTCATCATAGTTGCAAAAGTTTGCAAATTTATGAAAAAGCCCTTGCAGGAGCCTCGAACTCAAAACTTTCGGAAAACATTGAACAGTTAATTGGCTATTAAATCCCAAAACGGAAAATTTCCCCGCTGCATTAGATTTTCAGAAAAATAATGTGTTTCGAAAACTGCAGATTCAATTACTGATGTCTATCATCGCATTAATTTTGGAAATTCATAAAAAAATCTCCGAAGGAGTCTCCATTTGTAAACTGTCGCAGCATATTAAGCAGAGTTTTTCTTATTTTATGCAAAAATCGGCAATATTATCCATCTCGTATGTTTCCAGCAAATCACATTTTTCCGAACGATTGAAGAAAGTGGGTGGCGTTCATAGTTGCATAAGTTTGAAATTTTCATCAAAAAACACCTGCGGGAACCTCAAATTTCAAATTTTCCGATCAAATTAAGCAATTATTTGGCGAATAAATTAAATTCGAAAACCGGCAATTTCATGGTTAAATTAATATTTGATAAAAGAATGGTTTTTGAAAAAATTTCCGAAACTCAATGGTGTTCGTTTATAATGGCATGTGTAAAAATTTATGAAAAAATCCCTGAATGAGACTCCAATTCAAAACTCCCAGACCACATTAAGTGAAGTTTTTCTGATTTCATGCAAAAATCGGCAACATTCTCAATCTGATAGATTTCGAGTGAATAACATTTCTAGGAACGATTGCAGAAAGTTCGTTATATGTAACTTACAGTTGCATAATTTCGAAAATTCATAAAAATATTCCTGGGAGCGTAAAATTTGAAATTTTCGGAATATCTTAAGCAATAATCTGGCTAGTAAATCCGAAAACCGGCAAAATCATAGAATTTTGAATAGAATCATCAAATTTTGAGAAAGTCAATGAATATCGTCTATGATCGCAAAATTTTGCAAATTAATAAAAAAATCCCTGAAGTTGTCCTCATTTCGAAACTTTCAGACCACAATAAGCACAGTTGTTCGTATTTCATGCAAAAATCGGCAACATTTTCAATCTCTTAGATTTCGAGTGAATGCTCTTCGAAACAATTTCTGCATTGTTATATCTCACTTGCAGTTAAATACGTTTGAACATTCATAAAAACATTCCTGCGGGAGCATCAAATTAGGAATTTTCGGGCAATTTTAAGCAATTATCTGGCCAGTAAGTCCGGCAACTTCATTGCGGGATTAGATTTTGAAAAAATAACGTTTACGAACTATTTGTAAAAAGTCAATGGATGTCTTTTATAATCGCGCGAGTTTAAAAATTCATAGAAACATTCCCAAAGGAGCTTCCAATTTCAAACTTTCAGACCACATTAAGTACCGTTTTTCTTCTTTTATGAAAAAATCGGCAACATTAGATTTCGAGCAAATTTAATTTTACCGTTGCATATAATTGAAAAATTAATGAAAAAAATTCTGCTGCAATTTGAAACTTTCGGAACACATTGAGTAATAATTTAGCTAGTAAACCCTAAAACCGGCAAAATCAAGGTTGAATACGATTTTGAAAAAAATTACTTTTTTTGAAAAATTTGCACAGTCAATGATTATTGTTATCTTCGCTTGCATTTTGAAAATTCATAAAAAAGTTCCTGAAAGAGTCTTATTTCGAAACTCTCAGATCACATTAAGTGAAGTTTTTCTTGTTTCATGCAAAAATCGGCAACATTCTTGATCTCGTTGATTTCGAGCAAATAACATTTTTCGGAACGAATGTAGGACGTTGGATGGTGTTTATAGTTGCATAAATTTCCTTACGAAAACCTGCGGGAACCTCACATTTGACATTTTTGGCAACACATAAATTTGGCTATTAACTGTGCTATTAACTACTGTGCTACTTTTTTGGGCAAATAACAGTTTCTGGAACGATTGCAAAATGTCGTTGAATATCATTTATAGTTGCATTAATGAGAAAATTCGCAAAAGATCTCTGAAGAAGCCCGCAATTCGTAACTTTCAGTGTACATTTAGTAGGGATTGGGATACCAAATGCGAAACAAATTTCAAAATTTTACCCCCGGATTAGCTTTAAAAAAAATAAAATTTTCGGAAGGTTTGCAGAGCCAATGAATATGAATCCCAGACAATCTACAATTCGAAACTTTCAGAGCACATTAAGCATAATTTTCTTTACTTCATGCAAAAAATGGCAACATTCCCGATATCTGAGATGTCAAACAAAAAACATTTTCGGGAACGATTCCAAAATGTCGTTGAATTTCATTCACAGCACATGAAAATTCATTAAAAAACCTTTGAAGAAGTTTGACATTCGAAACTTTTAGTGCACATTAAGTAGGTATTTTGCTATTAAATACAAAACAAAATGGAAAATTCCATTGCTGGCCTAGATTTTCAAACAAAAACGAATTGTAAAAAGTCGATCCATGTCTTTCGACACTTTTAATTCGAAACTTTCAGACGACATAAAGTGTCATACATAACTCGTCAACATTCCCGATTTGGACAAAGTAGAGGGATTCCAGTGAAGGAAATGCTACTAAAAAGAACCACAGCATAGTTTTAAATCACAGCTTTTATTCCAGAAATATATTTAGAACTAGCAAAGGTTAATTCAATAATGAATATTCAATAAACCAAGTAGGAGGCGTAAACTAAAGTCGATTTGTATTGACTGAACAGGAGAAAATGACGACGTCAATCGTAAACAATAAATAAACTATATTTCGTCAAACGATGATTACGATAGAAATGTGCGCACGGTCGCTTTGATCGCTGACCGGCACATGGGACAATCCTCCAAGTTGGGGGCACAATTCACACAAGTAGTCAAATGTCCACAGGGCAAGAAGACAATGCCGACTTCGGCGTCCATGCAAATCTTGCATTGTCTCGCCTCTTTCAAAATGCGATTTTCCTCCTCCAAAGAGATGGATTTTTTCAGCTTGAAATCGCAGGGCAGGTCAGATTGCCTAGCGGTTCGCTCGCCATTGGTATCTGAGTGATGAGGTTGGCACGGTGCCGTGTCTTGCGCGGTTAGCTGATTCTGACCATTCGATTCGGACGCCTTGTTAATATCATTCAGCGCAGCGCCAATGATCGTACCCAATTGATTATTGCCAGACGAATTCGAATCGAATCCGTCATCTTCGTCCAGTTGCAGATTTAAAGCGGCTTCGACCAAAGCGTCTGGTTGCGAATAGCCTCGCCCAGTTAATTCTAATCGTTGCTTTAGGGCTAGTTTCACCCTTTGCATATCCATGCCTATTCCAAGAGCAGCGGAAGCTACTGCTCCACCCAAATGCATTTGAAGTTCCTCTTCCGTTACCTGCCGTTTTTTTGGCACTGGTCTGACTTTGTCGCATTGCTGAAACAAACAGACCATCACCAATATCATTTAAGGCCAAATCAGAGCAATTAGTAAAACAATCTAGTAAATAAGTTTCCCATGCCACGACTTTTGGGAACACCCTGTGTATCGAAATCAATTCCAATGGATGGCCACTATTGAGGTCAGTATCGCATAAAACAATCATTTATTTTGTATTGGTTGCATATTACATTGCATAGCAAACAGTCCTGGTTTCCTCAGGACTGAATATGCAGATGATACCAACATGTTATTGCAATGTTTTGCTCAATTTTGAAGCAATTTTTTTGAAGCCTGCCCACCTTGAAGAAGCTGCAAGACAAAAGCGAATATTAAGAGAAGCAAATATGTAATTTTTTTATGAGTTGCCCCATTTTCTGGCTGGGTTTACATCGCAATATACCAAGCAACACCCGACCATTGTTCTAAAATAAGACTTGACGTAACCAAATTAGAATTACTGATAATTCTGCATGTCGTCCTGTGGCGACAATCAGTTTTTTTTTATATCTGATTATGATGATGATTGCCGAGAAAAGTATTTTATTAGATTTCACGAAAAAGCTTGAACTTTGCAATGCAGCACTTCATTTTCAAAGTGTGAACCTACCGAGTGATACTTTACTTATGATCCAGTTATGGTCAATTTTCCTATATAAAACTTTAGGGTTTCGCTTCACAGTTTCACAGTTTTGACTGCCATCTTCTAAATTCAATATAATGGGTGCCTCAATAAAGGAGCGGTCCTTTGCCAGGTAATAATTAAGGAAACGTTGGCAAATTTTATTCCTGGACTTTTTTCCGTTTTTCTTCCAACGGTGAGGATCACCAGAGTAAACTCGAAGAGCGGGATTTTATTGAGACACCCTCTAATAATTTTCTTTGAAGGACGACACACATCTCCTAAACTAAGAAGTGAAATAATGTCGGTGAGAATTAGAATTATTATCGTTTCCTGGCTTTATGAACCTTGAAAGTAGCAGGAATTTTCCAACTAAAACTAGGGGCAAAACTGCTGAAGATAACCATGAATCAAACCTGCAACGTATACAATGCGATGAATGAAGTGCGAATACAAACCATGCATAAACTGAATGAATCGAGAATAGAAGAAACACGTGAACGAAGCAAAGAAGAATAGCTTCAAAATGGAGTAAGCCTCGAATTCTGGAAGGATCCACCATAGAAAACTTGTTTATTCGCCAAACAAAATTATAATCGCATGAGCTTCGAAATTCATAAAAAATAGCTGAAGATGTCCCAAATTTGAAACTTTCTGGGCACATTAAGTATTAAGCGGATGGATGTCGTTTATAATCGCATAAGTTTAGAAAATCATTAAAAAAATTCCTGAAGGATTTTTCAATTTGAAACTCATAATATATTTAGTAAATTTTAAACATTAAAGTCCACATACGAAAACGATTTCAGTGCCTGCAGTTTAAAAGAAAATATTTTTTCTCAACGGTGGCATATGGATGTCGTTTATGATGCCAAAAGTATGAAAATGCATTAAACATTTCCTGAAGATGTCCTGAATTCGAAACTTTCAGAACTTGTTAAGTAGATTTTACGCATTGAATTCTACATGCCCAAACGCTCTCATTCTTTGCAGTCTTCAAAAAAACTGAAATTTCGTAGGCGGTTACTGATAGTCGATAAATGCCGTTTATAATTGCAAAAGTTTGTAAATTAAAAAAAAATTCTAAAGGTGTCCTAAATTCGAAACTTTCAGATATTAAGTAGATATTTTGCATTAAATTTCCGAAGCGAAAACGTTCTTACTGCTTGTAGTTAAAAAAAATGGATTTTTATCGACACTTGCAGAAAGCCGATGGATGTCGTTTACAATCGCATAAGTTTGGAAATTCATAAAAAAAATCCCTGAAGGTTTCCCGAACTTAAAACTTTCAAAACAAATAAATAGATTTCAACCATTAAAGTGCACAACGAAAACGCTTTCAATGCCTGCAGTTTGAGAAAAATATTTTTTTTTTCGACGGTTGCATATAATCGATGGATGTCGTTTATGATCGCATAAGTTTGAAAATTCATAAAAAAATACCAATCCCATTCAAAACATTTTTTTTTCGACGGTTGCATATAGTTAATGGATATCGCCTATGATCGCATAAGTTTCAAAACTCATAAAAAAATCCCTGAAGGTGTCCTACATTCGAAACTTTCAGAATATATTAAGTAGGTTTTGAGCATTAAACTCCTAGAGCAAAAATGCTCTCACTTTTTGTAGCATAAAAACAAGACCAGAGGATTTTCCGCATAAGTGGATGAATATCGTTCATCATGGCATAAATTTGAAAATTCATAAAAAAGCCCTGAAGGTGTTCTCAACGCGAAACTTTCATATCATATTAAATGGATTTTGCGCATTAAATTCCAAAATCAAAAACAAACTCGCGGTCTGCAGTTAAAAAAAATTAATTTTTCTCGACGGTTGTAGATAGTCGATGTCGTTTATGATCGCATAAGTTTGAAAATTCATCAAAAATCCCAAAGATGTTCGCAATTCCCCAGTTTCATATCATATCGAGTACATTTTGGATGCAGGTGGCGGTTGTTTATAGTTTGGAAATTCATGAAAAAATGTCTGAAGAAGGCTCCAGTTCGAAATTTTCAGACCACATTGCGTATGGTTTTTCTTCATTCATGCAACAGTTGGCAACATTCCCAATATCTTAGATTTCAAACGCGTTTAGCCACTATTAATACAGATTAAAACTTTGGAGTAATTTGGCTTTTTTCCATTTCCTTCCACGTTACAGAAATATTTACAAACCCCTTTGTTTGCTGGCAACTTACGCAACTAACAGAGCAAATAAGAATCGAGTGTTGTGAATCACCCAGTATATATGCAAGGTTTCCTTTAAAAACGAACGATTTCGAACGGATCGAATACCTTGAAACGAACCAGGACGGATTGAATACCTTGAAATAAATCAACGACTGAGATCTGATGAACAACTTGTCGGGAACACCCAGTATGACATAAAATCCATTAAACCGATGCGAAAGTTTACGCAATAAAACCACATTTTGTCCCAGTGGCTTGTGTTCCAATCACAAATGTAATTACACGCCCATTAAAAGCAATGAGCTCTCGGAAAAGTTGGAGCATTTCCGCAGACCTCCCAGATTCAGTTTCCTAATCCCATTTTAATATTGCAAATTTCCCATTCAACAAGAATTTGTAAAAAAATGCAATAGTAAAAGCTTCAAGAAGAGCAAAATCTTACGAGTTTTGAAGATGCAAACATGAAGTATTATCTGAGTTATAAAAATGAAATAAAAATCAGATTAGTAGACCGAAAGTGAAAGACGAAACAGAAGACGCGACAGAAACTAAAAAAATTAAAATGTGCATATAAAAACAAAAATTGAGGCAAATAAAAATATCAGAGAATTTGTGTTTCAGCTGGTTTTTGCTTATTGCTGTTCTAATCGCGTATGGAAACGAGAAAATGCAAAACTTTCAAGCCGGAAACTAGTAGAAACTGCAGTTGGAAACGGAAAAAATTGGTGCAAAGTGCAAGTGCAATAGTTTGCGTAAAACATTTTTGACAAGTAATATAAATAGAAGAAAAAAATGCATACAAAACCTTCGAATTTTCAAAAAAGTTCATAGCAAATCCTGTTAGAGAGTGAACGATTAGTAAAACGAAAATAGTTAGACGATGGAAAATTGTTGCAGTTTTTGGAAAGAATCTTAGAACATTTCCTGAATTGTAAATGTCGGCAATAAGACAAAATAATAAACAAAATTCACGTGAATTTTTCTATGGTTAATTCCAAAATCTTTAGAGAAACCCTTACTATTCACTATACATACAACAAAAACCTTGACAAAAACTTAAAAACCAGATAAAGGAATAGAAAACGGAAGAGTAAAGACCCTCAAGACATTTGAAAAACAAACAGCCAAATTAACGCAACAGAGAACCAAAAAAGCACCGCATTTTTAGGTGAATCAATCTTCACAGTTCTTGTTATTTTCTTCCTGTTTGTGTAGAAACTGTTTCAACTATTGATACAACTGAAGAAGTGCGAATGTTACTTGATGCAGCAGGATGTGAACAGGAAGCGGCTATTTGGGACCGACGAAACTATTTCCTGGCTGCACGTCGCATGAGCCAAGTAATTGCTTCGAAATTGCAACCGCTAAAATTAGTCGAGCAAACGGACGTTGAAGAATTAGCATTTCTAAGAAAAAACCACAAAGCTACGCGAGGAAAACACCGGAAAAGTGCGTTTAAAAATCGAAAAGGTTCTTTAATATCTTTGTTTTATGGCCAGGAAGGCGCAAAAGAGCCGTTAAAGTATAATTGCAAGAAACAAGGCCTACATGAGGATGAGTTTCTTCAGGGATTTGGTTGAAGCCGGAGGCTTCAATAAACACATTTTAGCAAGAACAAGTACACTTGACTAATCGCCTAAAATCCCCACATGGCCTTGTCCTGTTCTCACTTGCAGCAATTGCTCCAAGAATAGAAATTAGTTGATGAACACCCAGAGGGGTTCTGATTCATAAAAACCTGCTAAAACGCGCTTTTCTCGCTCACGGTCGGTTCCCCAGAAAAACCGAATAACAATTCGCCGTCCAGTTAGCAGTTGGGTTCGCAGAATAGGCTCGCATAACTTGCTATTTTAAGAAGCAGCTTCATGAAAGAACTTAATTTTAAGCATCAGCAGGCAGCACAGAACAGAAAACTAGCGAGTATGTTTGTGTGGTCGTAGAAAATCATGAGCAAACATGATGGGAAACCTTGGACCAGGCACAAAAGGACGATTGTTCCATTGCCCATAAAGGTCAATCCATAACGATTTGAAACAGGAAGACCGCAGATAGTTGGGAGCCCTTGGGCTCAACATCTTCAGCAAATGTTAACGATTTCCTCAACCAGAATTTTAATGGTTGAAATCGTGAAAACGATTTTCTCGCCGGGCTGCGATCAAAAGGTTGTTTGTTGCATGACCTGCGA